GAATTGTTTACTTTTGTTTGAATTTTAATATTGCCGTTTCAGGAAATATCTGAACAAAGGTTTGAGTACATAAAAAGGCTTAAACAATGTATCAAATGGTTCCAACAACTTGAGGGAAATTATATTACAGAGCAGGAAAAACTGAATAATTTGTTGGAAATGGCATAGAAGCAATTCAATGAAATGGGTATGATTGGTTTTCATTTATGTTTACAGAGACACAGTGTTTCTTGCTTTCTTGGCAGTGAAAAAGAAAAGAAATTTTTTGATAATTTATCAGCCTGCTAAAGCTTATCACAATTTTGATAATTTTTGTGGTGGGGGTAGTTATAGGAATATCTTCCAGTTCACACATTGATCGATATTTCACATTTCAAACAGATCAGTTTAGTTTAAACAATCATATTTTTTTTAGAGGAAATCCATATATGAAGTTTTTTTTTTTTAGAGAAATCCATATATGAAGTTTTCTTTTTAGAGGAAAGGAGGAACCATTCCTCCGCACACGGAGGAATTGAGAAAAAAGCTCTCCACTTTCTCTCTCTAATTTGTTAGGGAATAGATATATAAAGGTAGGTTGACAAGTACCAAAGCCAACAGGAAGTTTTTACATTATTTTAATAACTTAGTTAGTTATTTGGTCCTTAATTTAATTAGCCATTAGGTGTTATAATATTGATTTTGTCTTAATCTTGGAGATTATTTGATAAAATTAATACAATAATTAAAGTTTGTTTTTTCACGAAATTCTGTGCGGAGGATGGTTCCTCCACTTTAATATTGGATTGGAAAATATTTTGTGAGTGGCAAATTTTGTATTGGTGGTCAGTGGCAATTTTGTGAGTCGAAATCAATATTGAATTGTCGTTTTACTTTTTAATGATTAAACGATTCAGTCATGGCCAACTTTATGTTGCAGTTACAAATTGTTCGGGATTGAAAATTCTTTGTTGCGATCGAGATGGAGTACCATCCAATTCAACAACACATGTTGTTTTCAAAGAAGTTTTTCAAAATTTGAATTACTTATGTGGTGTATATATTTTTATTTAAAATTACCCCAATGACTCACAAGTTAATTTTAAGTTAATTTTTGAAGTGTTTTGCATCTAATTGAATTGGAAAATCAATTAGCATAGGTTTCTCATATTAGAATTGTTTATCACTTAATATGAATTTGTGCGATGCACGATTAGAATTGTTTGTCACTTAATATAAATTTGTGCATCGCACCGTGCATCGCACGGGGGAAAGACTAGTTTCATTTGTAATACTATAAATACCCCCACCATTTAACACAAAAAGGTTAATGAAATTCTAAGTACTTGGAGTAATATTATTCTCTCTTTTATCAGCATATTTCTACCACAAATCTTGTTTTATATCGATTGGCTTCTTATACAATCGTGTTCTGTTTATCTTACCGGAGACCCGAACGGAGACATCTCGTGTGTGTCGTTGAGCTCCTCCCACGTTCAGATCGGCACTAACATGATGGATTAAGCGTACGTATATACGAGTGGGCCTAACATCTGTTAGCAATATTTTTTGGGGTCAACATAATGCATTGCAACATTTAGATACGTGCTTGGAGTCATCGAGAAGTAAAAACTTAAGTGAAACACTTTCCATCATATAAGCACACATTTGAACCGATCCAAACGTGGAAGGTATCACGATTCCCAATAACCAAAGTACCATTGTAGCTATAGGAAGGAAAAAATCACAAGAAAATTGTTAAAAATACAAATGCATCAAATGTCAACAACTTTGTTCATCTTTTATATAGTTGATATTGCCACTGTGATGTCAGCAACATTGTTCATCTTTTATCTAGGTGATATTGTCACTTTGCACCCTAGAGTCACATTGATTTAACACCTTATATTTAAGATAGGTTTGGTATGTAATAGTCATGCTACATTGCCCACCTCATTGATAGATATGTTGACATAATGCCACATGACATTATATCATTTGACTATTTTAAATGCAATGATCATTTTCATCCAATCATTTCCATCTACCTACTCATCTATCAAGAAGAATGTCAAAAATTCTCTGGCAAAGTAGAATAATTCTATCTGTAATGTCCCCAAAGTATGCTGGATAATAGACAAGATTCGAGGTCATTAAAATAGATAGACGTGCATACAGTTTGTCAATTGATCAATGTCCAGAGAACTATACCAAACTTACCACGAGAATTCTAAACAACTTGAACACAAATTAGGCTCCTGGGCTACAACCATCTTACCAGGCAAAACTCAACAAATCTAGAAAATGCTAACTTTCAACACAAGGTTCCCGAAGCAATAAATCTATGAATTTCATATAGGAATGCAAAATGCAGAATCTATTCATATATAGGATGCAAATTGTAAACCAAAACTCCAAACAATCCATATTAATGTCTATCATAATGTATGACATGTGGATTTTAGAGAGAGAGGCTGACTGAGGCTACAAACTGTGGCTTTAAGATTGTAACCCCGATCAAGTAAAAGCTTCACCAGCCATGAAGCAGTGTAGCTCATGTTACGGACACTGCCTTTCCCGCTCCAGTACTCATCCTCGATGGCTTTCTCTGTCAATCTGTGCTCCGATTACAAGATTGAGAATGACACAACCACTGCAATCAACCAATCACCAACACTGCAAACAACTACTACAATCAACTAGTCACCACCGCCACTGCCGACCATCGCCACCACTGCAATTTCCAATCAACACAATCGAGATCAATGGGTCGAAATCAATGGGTCGTCACCAATCAACACAATCGAAATCGAAAAAACCAAAAACCCCCAAAATTTCAGATCGAAAATAGAAAGAACTTCACCTTCGCCCTGCCACGAACGACGCCGTCACCAATGGGTCGCCGAGTCGAAGAGAGAGGAGGCAGAGCAGTGTTGCGAAGAATGGGACGCGACGCCTGTGTTCACGGAAGAGTCTCCTTCGCCCACGTCAGCTTCGGTACTGGTGCATCTCATTCGTGGGCATCGACAAGAGATAACTGACGTCCGGATAGAAGGAAGATAGGGGATGGATTGGAAGAAAATTGAAGAAATCGAAATGCTGGGAGTGGGGTGTTACTGTTCCCAAAATAGCTATTTCTCATGTTTTCAGATTTCCCTGTTTTTGCTTGAAAACGTCCAAAACGTGAAAAAAAGTCATTTTGGTGTTTTGTGTACAATTTTTTTTGTTTCGTTTTCAAAAATAGGGAAGAGAACGCGTTTTCAGTGTTTTGAAAAATTGAAGACAGAAAACGGCTTGAAAACAGTAAAGAGAACGAGTCTTTAAAGCTTTCAAGTGATATCAGATCACTAATTCGATTTCTAACCCTAATTTTCTAGACGAGTAGTTCATTGTCTGTCTCGCCATATTTTGATTGCAATAACTACGCCTATTGAAAAGTTAGAATGAGAGCCTTCCTGAAATCGATGGATGAGGGTATTTGAATGAGTGTAGTGAATGGTTGGACTGCCCCATCTACCACAGTTGTAGGTATAATTACCCCTACTAGATTTAGATTAGTGTAATTGGAATAGTAAAGGACTATATGCTCTATTTATGGATGTGTCAGTAGAAGAATTTAGGCGTGTGTATGTATGAGGTTGCTAAAGAGGTTT